ATTGGCATAAAGTATGTATAGTATCTGCAAGCAGCACGGTTTGTATCTCTGGCAGCGTCAGCGAACGACATTTCTGCCTCACAATAGCCCGTAGTTGTTGAACCCTCGCGAAATATGATTAAATATTGTAAATGCCAAAGTTATGGCCTGGTCGCCTCCAGAAGTAAGCCAACCAGTCATGCCGCCAGCCAGCCAGGCAGCCAGCCAGGCAGCCAGCGATTCAGCCAGAGTCAGAGCCCGAGTCAGAGCAAGAAACGAGGCTAAAAGGCAATCAGAAATTGTGGCCAACAATGCAACGCCCACACCCACGCCCGCTGCATAAAAGAAGAAAAACGGTCGAGCAAATAGGCATTTAACCCATAAATGCCTCATGGGCAGATTATTTGGTAATCCTTAATACTGTTTTAGTAAAACAAAAGCATTTAATTATTCCTCAGGATCAAAATGAGAAAGAAATACATACAAGTAGTAGTATTAAATAAAAGGAAGCTATTTGGAATGAATTTAAAATATTACAAAAATAAATACCATCTTGGATTTCAAGCAAACAACAAAAGAATCTGTTTTTAAATTAAATAGTAATAAAATAAAAGGAACACATTTCGAATTTATTTGGAATAAATTTAAATAAATACTACCTTGATATTAAAATAATATTAAAATTAATTATAATATTAATTAACATACAAGTATTTTCTTTTTTGCAGTACTACAAGAATCGACAAATATGTCCAGCTCAATGGAAGTCCGAATATAAATAAATCAATGTTATTTATTAAATTCCTTTGTGAAATTGTTTTTAAATAAAGAGTGTGCAAAAACGTTTGATATTAAAATTTATTGGAAAAGCGGATAGTTCATTTAAATTGAACCGGCAACATCAATATTCAAATACATATTGAATGAAAAAACGCCCGAAAACGCTGAATATCATGCCTAAGCTCTGTAGGATACAAAGGAAACAAATTTACCAATTCCACCACGTAGCGTTTCGTGGGTTAATAATGCTGCGGCGATGACTGCAGCCTGACCACACCTTGTTCCTTAATGGCAGGCAGGCGCTCGATTGTTCGACAAACTTTTTGGCGCGCTTCAACTCAACAGGTTGGCGCGCTTCGTCGGTCCTTGGTTCAATAAATAGTGCATAGCTCAGTGGCCTGAGCGCTGGCGACTAAGTCTCATTAGCACAGTGTCACAGTGGCATTTGTGTGGATTCATTTCCTAGCCGCAATTTGGACTTTCTAAAAATAACCACACCGGACAAGTAGGTATATGGCGTCAGCGTCAATCAGCTGTTTCAGTGTACAAGTATAGTTAATAATTTTCAATTTAATTGCCAGCAACACCTTGAAAAAGCGCGCATATTTTAATTATATGTATTCGCTGTGAACAACTGAGCAAGTTTCGATGTGGAAAAATGGGCAATTGAAGTGCAAGACAAACACACGCACACACACACACGCACACACACACACACATACACACGCACACTATGTACGAGTACATACTACTCACATAAAGAGCAAGCCAAAAATGTCGCGGCTAACGAAAGACCACTAAAAAGTAATTGTACGAGTAGTTAAATGTCAAAGCAACAATTGTTGCCTTTTTGTTGCTGTTGCTCTTGTTGCTGTTGCTGTTGTTGCTATTTGGCGTTGGCGTCGCCAACTTAAATGTCTATAAAGTGAACGGTACTAGCAGTGCAGCAACAACAATAGCACCAACAACAACAACAACAACAGCAACAGCCAAGACGACTAAACATTGGCTGGAGTAATCGAGTGCTGCACTAAATGAGGCTTAACTTCGAATGACCACGAACCCAACAAGAGCGAGCAGCTCGCCTCGAGCGGGGGTAGCGGGGGAGCGGAAGCAGAAACTGTGTGACAAATCAAAGCGCAAAGCTTCAGCCAACGCGCATGCAGACAAAAGCAAACGAGGCGAGTCGAGACGAGGTGAAGTGCCCGGTCGAGAGCGTTGGGGGGAGAACTTAGAGCAAGACTAAATATGCTAATTATGCGTTAATAAGCAAGTCGTTGCTGCTTTGCGGGGCGTGACGTGCGGCGCTGCGGCCACTCAAAACCATAGTGCGGGCTACCGTCTATGCAAACCCATTGCAACTTCGTGTTGGCGTGTGTGTGTGTGTGTGTGCGAGTGTGTGCGAGTGTGTGTAACTGTTTGCGAACGGTACGGTCTGAGATAATTTACTGGTCGGTTAGTTCTTTGCCTCACCGCAGCTCTGTCACATGGCGTGGCCTGCAGAACTAAATATTGCGAAAATGTTCAGCCTCAAGCCCCTGACTTTAATTACAATAGACTGTGCAACATGGTTCTTGAAGCTAAAGTGTAGGAAGTCACATCCAATTACAAAACTATTCGTTATAAATATAGTTTTATACTATTTGATAAAAATGTCATGAAGTCATGAAGAATGAGTCCCGGATAGATATTGAAAATATGTATTACAATATTTCGAAACAAAGCTCAGCCGAGAACAGAAATATGTGTAAAATATTATTAAATACAATTTTAATTAAATTCTGTTTTCACTGTGTTGTTGTTTCAAATTAAACAAAAAGATATCAACAAAGTAAACTTGGAAATAATATAAATTGAATCTGACATACATAGGTGGACCCGCATACATAGGTGGATCAGCAAAAAGCCTTTTTAATATATTTATCGAATAAAAACTGTGATAAAGTTTATGACACAAGTTTTAAAATAGGATCACATCAAGTTCCTATGAAATATAGGTATGTATACTAGTATATTGAACAAAATGCAATATTTCCAATATTTACAATATCCCAAGACCAATGTTGTGGTTTGAACAACTTTAGTTTTTTTACACACTTTAATGGTTTAAATTTGGACCGTTTCTGCATTCTTAAAAATATTCACATTATTTAAATAAATGGTGCTGCACAGTGTTACAAAGTGGCAGCATTTACTTGTTATTGTTTTTGCTGTTTGGGCTCGAGCTGGAGCTGGAGTTGGAGCTGAATCAGTTGTTTTATTCTTGTCGCCGCCATCATTTTGCATGTCAATCAAAAGCGCACAAGTCGTGATTTGATGATTTTTTAACGTGTTGCTCGCTGGCTTTATGGCCAGCCACTAAAGTCATTTTTCAGCCGTTAACATTTTGAAGTAGAACGAACACAGACTGCCAGACTGTCAGGCTGACACGCTGTCAACGGCACTCCACACTCCATCTCTGCCCGTAACTATTGTTTGTCCTTCGGAGAACAGCAACATTGAATTGTTTGGCATTATGTTTATTATTGAAATGATGTCTGAAATTATTTTGAGTACTGGCGCCAGATCGTCAGATTATTTGCCCGCTGGCGCTCACACATACACGTTTCCAGGGGTTTATTACAACATTTCTGGGACCATAAATTTAACAATGTCACGTTATAAATTTTGCACTGCCAAAACTAAAACAAAAGCAGCAAAAAAAAACAAATTGCTTGGGTATTAAGCTGTCTTGGACACTTTTTATTTCGGGGTTTGAAAAGAGCTTGGTTTGCTCTGAACGTTTAGTTGTTGGAGGTTGGTTATTGGTTTTGTTCGACCCGCATCTTGACGCATTGCTTGTGGTCTTCTATCTTGGCCGGTTCGTTTTTTCGGTTAATTTATGCAACTAACCAGTTTCACGAGGCTCAGAGTCAGTGTCAACCGCCAAATATACAAGTTTGCTTCATTGCTAATATGCAAAGTTTATATGTGTGTATATATTTAATAAATTAATACATTTGTTTCAGTTTTTGCACATGCGGCTTTAATTATTTTTTGCAATTTCTAATTAACTGACGTTCTTTGTTGCCAAAAATGTATTTTCAAAAATTGGAAGCTGCCGACTGGTTGTGCCGGTCCAGTGGCTCGGAGGTCTCCCCTCCAACAAAATTATTAAATTGCATGACTTTGGTTTGCCGTTAGCATCAAATTCGTTTCGCTCAGCTGTTTGCTCAATGCAAACCACTTTTTTGAGTGCCGCTTAGAAAATATTCCCATATTTTATACTGTACTCCTTCTCCTGCTGATTCAGCTACTAGTTTGTTATGCGTTTTTAAACTTCTTTTTGCGCCATAAAATGTACAAGTATTTTTTTTACCTCCATACAAGTTTAATTTGCGTATACAAAAGTGGCAAACGGGTATGCCAGAGGCTTGAACACAATGGAAAGTGCATTTTGTATAAAGAGTACATAAATAGTCAAAAGTCATATAATATACAAATAGTATCTTTTTAGGATTTCGTTGCGAAAAATATGCCCCTATTGTATGTAAAATGCCTTGCGGATGGTCACCTAAAAATCCTTTTAAGTGAATTATTGTAAAATTGATCAATTTATCGAACAATTATTTGAATAATAAATAATATGTTGTTGATTTACCGAAGCTAGTAAACCGAATTCTGTTTTTACACGGTAGATTGGTTCCTTATCTCTAAAGAAATATTTATGCAATTTTTAATTTTCAAATCGTGTAATATCAAAATCGTGTAAAAAATGACCGTGTAAAAAATCGAATTAGGTGTACTTAATATTTCCCGTTCCAAGTTAAATAAAGACCAGTGTATTGTTGATATAAATATACAATATTCATAAAAAATTATTATTCGTTCTTTGATAATTGTATAGGATACTCGTAATATAAAGCACCTCATACTTGTATATTCATGTTATATTATAGGATATCTAAGAGCAGCTGGCTTGGCCGTAAATGAAAATCTTCGCTTTATTTCTCGCATGCGGCCAAAGAACGCGAATCCCTAAATGAGATATTACTTTTCTCGAAGCCAATTAAAAATACAATTTGTACAAAAGCTTATTATTTATTTTGAATATAACATGAAAATGCCTCCATAATATCAGAAGCTAAATATTTATTTGTAAAAGGTTTGACCTTATTTTTGATTGCTTACTTAACTGTAATGGATTAAATCGAATGTTTGTTAAGCTAATTATTCAAGTAAATAAACCAAGCTTTAAAATGCTAAATTCGTGGTTTTTCGGCGACATCATGCCGAAGCTTACGCTTGAAGAGCAGCTCCCGATTCACGGCCTTCAGATCATCCACGGAGCAGGTCTTGATATTGCGCACAGTTCTGGAAATTAACTCCTCGGTGATTTCGATTTTGGTTGCTGAAAGTCGCAGCTGGCGGGCATTGCGTCGCGCCAGCTCGGATCGGTACATGAATAGGTGATATGAGACAGTCGGCTTTGCCAAATGCTCTTCCTCCATTTTTATTTGTGCTTAAAGCCCCAAAAGTATCAGCGCGATTCTCGTCGTGTGCGAAAGAGTCACGCTTCCGTTACGTTTGACTCCAATGTGCTAAATGCCGAGTCTGTGCAATGGACAGTGGTTTTTATGCTGGGTAGGCGCCGTGTCTCAGTCTACCTGAAATCTGTGCACAATGTCTGCACAGGTCACGGGATGGAACATAGCCACCGTTTCTGGCACCGTAAATATTTGTGACAAAATATTTCGTGGCTTAATCCATTCTAATCCGGTTCAGCGCTAACCGTTTGGTTTACCATCAATAATGTGTATAAATATAGTCGACACATTCAGAAAGAGTTTCCGCGGGAATTGTTTTTGAGCGTGTCCGTTCTTGTTGCATTGGCCCAGATTAACATTTGTTCAGAAAGTTGGCCAGAAATATATTCGGCCAAGCTTATAAATGAAAATAGTATCTTCACTCAAAGTTTCCCACTTTTGCAGATGTCGCAGCTCAGGTTAATTTTCTGGGTGCCATTACCATGAATATTTGCATCATTAGCATTTCTGTGCACTCGTATGAATATTTCTACACGATTCCAGAAAACTTAGAAGACACAACAATGCAGGTAATAAATGTAGGGACGGGACAATCAGTTCAGTAAAAATATTGCGAGCAGTTAACTGCGCATTGAGTTACCTTCTCAGAGCGTATTTTAATAGCAATTATTGCCCATGAGTGAACGAATACCAGAACCATGTTTCTGGTAAATTATTGTTTGTAAATTAACAAGTTCTTAGTTAATATGTATGGGTTTTAAGGTCGGCAAAAAGTCATGTTAATCAATGTATTTTCTATACCCCGATTACACGTATTAGTCCTAGGCCATCAAAATTGATCTGAATAGGTAAAGTGACGCATCAAGTGGATGTTTTTGTTTATTGAGGGATATAAAATTATAATGCCTAAGATAAGCCCCTGATATCGTATCAATTTAGTATGATAATTTGTCCATTCTAAACATATGAGTACTTGTTCTAATTTACAAATAGACATTGTTTAATTGTCAGACACATGGGATAAAAAGGCAGAGGAATCTTTTCTTCTAATTTCTTCTGCTTTCCTTGATGCAATGGGTGGGTTCTGAAAGAATATGTTCAATGAACCCATGCAATATATTCTGACGATCGTCAATTTCCCATAAATTTAAGAATTAAATTCACTAAAATTTGACACTAGTTGTCTTAGATTTCTATATATTTATTTGGATCTATTTAGTGAATAAAGGGATTGTGCAATATCAGATATTCAGAGTGAAATTATACAGTGTATTCAAATTAGCAAGCTCTAGGATTATAATTTATTTATTTCTATGCTTCATAATGCATTTCAATTCATTTTCCATTACATTATTCTCTAGAAATATTGCAATTTTTCCAGAAAATTGCATTTCATTTTAGTTTCCACCGAAACAATGCCACTTAACTGCATTGAAATTAGTTTTCCTATACAAACGAGCCACGCTGTCTATTGCAAACATTTTTGGACATATGTGCTTGCACAGACATGTTGTCCATGCTCTGTCCTTAACAACTTCCATGTATTTCATTGAAAACACAAACTGCAACATTCGCAAATGCTTTCCAAAGGCAAGTGTGTGTCCGGCCCTTGGGTTCGGGGTCGAGAGGTTGGGTCACACAACGGTGGCATAATCCTTTTATAATTGCACTTAGTAGCGAAAAATTAGAAAAACAAAAGGATTTCGAAACAGGCTTAGGGCACTGGGAAAGACCACGCGCCGGATTAAGAGCTGTGCCGCATCAGCGTTTTATGACGGACAACGCATTCGTTTAACGGTCGTGGTCAGGCATGCGAGTGATGAGAGGTCAGTCGCAGGTAGCAGAGGTCAGAAATGAGAAAACTTGCCACTGACTAACTGTACAAGGGACTGCTGCTTTGGCTGCATTTGACAGCTTGCCGACAGCAACGAAAAGCATTTTGAGGCATTTCGGTCAGCCGGTCAGTTTTAAAATTTAGACTGCTAGCCACTCTAATCCCAATATAAGAGACGTGCGTGCCGACCCATATACACGACCTATGAATATCGGCCAGCCAGACATCATTATCAACATCTACACGGCTCAGCTAGCTAGCCAGTCAGCCAGCCAGCCACTCAACAGAAGATTGTATCATCGGCTTTACAATGCTTTTCACATTTTTGTTGGCACTGGCTGAGCTTTGTTTGCTTCTGTCTGCCTGTCTGTTTGTCTGTCTGTCCTAGCCTGGCGGCGCTGAAACGTTTAGCCGCCCCATTGCACCCCAACCCATTTCAAAACCATCCCATCCCACATTGAACATTTAACATATGAACAGCTAAAAAGCGGGCTGTGAAAAATAATTTATTGTACTTTGTTGCATTTGACCATTATGAGCGGAGCACTTGAAAAACGCAGTAACGCAGTCGCAGCTCATGAATTAACATAAAAGCGGTTAACTGCGCTTTTAGACATCGACATCTACATCGGAATCGACATCACGGCAACTTTCACTGCTCGAATGCTCACGATATTTCTCTTGTTATTATTATTGCTGGCTTACCTAATGCAGCCCAATATTTCTTCTTTAAAGAATTTTATGTGTGGCCCAAAGGGGCTTATGTAAAGCTTCAAACCAAAAAGTTGCAACAGCGGTCATCACCACATTTCACTTTATACAATATTCATAGAAACACTTCAATTCGAAATGCAAAATCGATTTTTAAAGCAGACATTTTAAAACGGTTTTAATTTATCTCAAGCTGAAAACAGTACGAATTAAATATATGAAGCGTTAATTGGAAGTCCACAACTCAGACTGTTAAAAGTTCAGAACAGCATTGAACTACATTTAGTATTAAAGTTCTAATTTTTATTTGATATAACAATGGAGCGGTTTTCACTGATTTAGTATATTTTCAGATCTTTCATCAAGGCTATTTGACAAATGTCTAAAAGTATTTGCGTTTATGTTATAAGAGTAGCCATTTATAGCCATAAAATGCGAAAATCACATAGGCAGACTAAAACTGTTTCCGAGCAAATTATCCCTCAAGATGCTAGTGGCATCAGTTATATGGCCTTCAAATAGTAAGATTATCACAGGCAAAAAAAAGCCAAACTTCTTTTTACAGCTTACATTTTTATGAAAAAAAATGCCAAATTAAATATTTACAGAGTCGATATTTAATAACAAATTAGAGTGTTCACATATTAGTCTACATTTAAGACTCTAAAATATGTGAACAAAAATATACATTCCTTATTTTGGTACACTACTTGATAATAGTAATGTCATTCCAAATAAAACTCATAAAACCGTTTGCGAAAACAAGGGCTTATAATTTGAAAATCCTTTAGACTCGGAAACATGTATAAATAAGTTAGCTCGGCCGTTTCTTGTATGGAGCTGCACAATGTCATCTACAATTTATTACATAATTTCAAACCAGAATAAATAAATAAAAAAAACAGCAAAGGACCGTTCTTATATGTTTATATTAATGATATACATTTATATACCCCAAAGTAAAGAGAGAAAACTGCAAAATTGAATTGTGCAAAATGTAAATTCTAGTATGCAAACGACTTGACCAAAAGTTAATTGGTTAAAGCATATTTATTTATGTATTTAGTGCCTAACTTCATTTCCAAAATAAACTGTGTATGTATGTTGAAATGAATGCTCTTCAACCAATTGATTATATTTGGATTAAATTCTCATCTCAAACCGCTCGAGGACAGAGTTATTCTAATTGTAGTGGCTTTAGTGAATGGCTTAAATAGCTCGTTTACATTTAATTGTAAATTGAAGAAGATTAACTTAACTTATGCCATCCATTAAAATTGGGAAATGTTTCAATTACTTTAAGTGAAATTACACGGAAAACATATTAAAATTAGAGTCCACGTGGACGCCAACAACGACAACGACAACGGCAACAGCCCAAGCAAACGCGTACCAGCTACTAAATATTTAACACACTTTTTTGCATTACAACGACAGGCACAGCACAGTCGCAGTCAGAGCTCGCTATATTTACGTAAAGGTCAAGCCATAAATTTTTAATGGGTCTCAAAATACTCACAAGCTCAAAATCAAAGACGAAGGGAAAATTTGTGAGCTGCTCGCGCTTTACAACCTCAGCAAGGAGCGATGGGAAGTGCACAGGGCTCAGTATTTACCTATGCCAACGCAAACGCCGCCGCATTTTCGCGACAGGTAATTACGCGCCACAGGTCAAAGAACAGGTAGAAGGCGCCGTTTGAGCCTGCACTCACCTTAAGCGCCCTAGATATAAATAATCCTGGAAAAGTACGACAGGACATCATTCACAGCCCTAACTGCCAAGCAGTCACAGCTCTGAGCGAACACAACTTATCGTTTCAATTCAACACGTTTTTTTCTTTTACAAAAATAAATAAAACGAAAATGGAAGCTCATCGCCATATCAAACGCTCCGATCGTCCTAGTGTGGGCTATTTGCTGTTCCAGTACCAGAGCGAGCTCACCCGCCGCCATGCGGAACCCACACGACTCTCACGAACAAAAATGCACATCATCGACGGACTGGTATCTCGCACCATTCGACACCTGAAGCACTGCAGCGTCGAGGAGCTGCAGGCCTGCAAACGGGAGCTGGTCTATAAGGAGCAACTGCGAAATCAGTTGCACGGCATGAAACGGAAGAGGAGCTCATCGCGCAATAGTAAGACGCCGACCACGCCACCCAAGACCAAGTTGCTGAACGCTTCTAAGCAAAAGTTGTACATTATGGGACCTGAGATATTCGTTTAAAGCTTGGCTTAAGAATTAACGTTTACTTTTAGGTTTTATCTCTTTATTTCGTAGATCTATTTTGACATTAATTGTTGACGATTAAAAATCAAAGAAAAACAGAAACTTAAAGTAATTTCAAAGTTATTTTTGAGCTGGCAATTACGAGTTCAGACAGGTAATTGGCCAAAAATTGTGCAGCAACGACATCGGCGTGCTTTGTTGTAGGAGTGGAAATTCCTGTTCTCTCAAGCCTGTTTTTTGGTCTAGGCTAAAATGTGTGCCGAACAGCATTCAAAAAGCCAGCCAGTTAGTTAGCCATTGAGTTCCCACGAAGAGCTAGTTGAGTTGCTTCGAAAAATTTGCCAGCAGCTTGATAGACGCGGCTAAAATAAAACTTGCCAGCCAGCAAAGAATGTGGCTTAAAGTTCAATCGTGCAGCAAGTGTTATTTCTTTATGCACTCAACTACAACCTAGCGCTCTGGCCAATCGGGCAATGATACAAATACTTTCCAGCTGTTTCACTGTGTGTTTGACTAACTGACTGACTAACTGACAAAGGGACTGCCTGTTGAGGCATTTGTGAGTTTATAAATTATTAACGTGTGTCTTTCTGATATGCAAATTGTTAGTAGCTCGTCATTATGAAGCAGCAAAGAGAAATGTATTAATGAATATATTAACGACAGCCGAAGAAAAAGAAATGCCCAAGTCCACTGACAATTTGGCTCATTAGCAGCTGACAGACAACAGAGAAGATATTACAGTTCAAAGCAAAGGTCGTTGGGCTCGTGAATGGCTTGCATCTGTTATTAGTCATAGAATGTTCAGAGTACGAGTATGTATGCATATACTTGTAATTTATGCTGCAGCACAAAAATCGACAGGTTGCAGTTATCTTGAGACACATTCTATCTACATATTTATATGCATTTACCTGAATAGTGTGCTGTAGATTTTCTTTTTCCGTTCCTTTGTTTTTGTTGCTTCTTGTTATTCCACTAGTCCCCAGTTGCTTGGAAGTTTTCTCGCCTCTGTTTGCTCACTGAATATTATTGTTGCTTTCTATTTGCATATATTTTGTTGTAAATTATGAGCAGAGTGTTAATTTGCTCTACTCACTATCATATGATTATTTCTTATTTCTTCGAGTGAAATTCAGATATTCTCGTGAAAATAAAAACTCACAAATGCACAATTAACATGGACACATGACACATGGCAGCACACCAGCCAAGGGAAATGGTGATGGTAATTATTTTAAAGGCTATTTTAAGCCTAGTTTATGCAGCGACGCAAAGCAATGCGCCGTCAATTTGGAGCACAGCGAATGGAACGAACCAAAGCTAAATGCAAATGGTAACACACTGGCACAGACACAGAAACAGAAACTTGTACACTTGGACAGGGACACACTGCTAACTGAGAAATTGGATATGGGCAGGGGGGGCGGTATATTGTAGTTGTAAGACGTTCGTTCTTCGTCGCCGCGAATGTCGAAGTAGAAGAAGTCGACGATACACACACGGGTCTTTCGTTTCTGCACTTTTGGGGGATCGTTTTCAAAACCGGCCACAAGATGGCAACGCGCGCGCTTTCGAACGCCACGACGACTCACTGATGAATGACTTGGACGGCTTCAAAACTTTTGGCCTCTGACAATGGCCAATATGAATTTCGAAAAGCGCAAAGCAGCAGCAACGGCCAAGTTCGAAATTCGATGAGAGCGCATTGAGCGAAGCTGAGCATCAAGCTCTACAGCGATCGTGAGAGCGGCTTCAGCTTGCTCTCCGGTTTGCTGCTTCAGTCTTTCGTTTGCATGTTTCTGTGTGTGTGCGTGCGCCTAGAATTTCAGCTATTGATTTATTGTCTTGTAATAACTGTTTTCTTGTCATTGTGTAGCACACGCTTATTTTTGCGACGGGCTTATTTCTTGTATTCGTTCTGTTTTTCGGCAGTTACAGTTTAGTGACGCACTAATGATGATTCGGTATTGGTTTTGGCTTTGTGCGTAAAACTGGAATTGGGCTTAGGACTTGGTCAGCGACCGACGGTGACACAGATCCAATAAGCCAGCTCACAAGATGTCTAGACCTATTTATGAGTTTATCTTTATAATTTTTATATGTTTGCAAGTTCGCTCAGCCCCTAATATAGTAGATTCGACTGCTCGGCCAGCTTGATTTCAACTTTCGCTGCTTCTTATTTGCGCAGCGCTCACCAAACTTTTACTCTCAAGCTCAGCAGTCGGTGCTCTCAGGCTTGCTCTGTTTACTCCACAAATTACCACATTATTTCCCCTCACTTTTTCACTCACTTCCTCCACATCGGCTTTAACTCTTCCACTTTAAGTGCTGCTGCAGTTCATTGCTGTTCAGGTTTTAGTTTACCAATGACTTCTTAACGGTGCGCCACTTAATGCCTTGTTTTTTGTGTACTTTGTTGAAACTCAGCAACAACAACTATAGTACAACAACAAACCAGTTGCTTTTTGTCGCTCATTCGACTCTCACGACACGCTGCTCTGCTAGAAAAGCCGCAGCCCGCAGCCCGCAACCCACAACCCATACCACGCGGTCCGCGTCTGCTGCCGCTGCCCTCAGCGGGAGGAGGAGTTGCAGCTGTTATTGTCATTTTGCTTTTCCTACAGCTTCGGCTTCAGTTCTACTTGGCTGTGTTGCTGCTGCTGATGTTGCTGCGCTCAAGCGTGAATTTCTGTGGTTTCCATGCGATTCTTTCAGCCGCAAAGTTGTCTTCTGCTCACTGCCAGCTTGCGCCTTGCTCTGCGCCTCTCTGGAGCCATTATCAACGGCATCGCCGTCGTTGTCGTTGCTTAGCGCATTTCTTTTTCTAGTTTTTTCTTTTTGTTGTTCTACTACGCTTGTAGGGCTTTTTCTCTAGACCGCCGTTGTAACTGAGCAGCGTGCTGCTGTCGCAAAAGCCACAACAACCGCAGCAGCTGCCGCTGTCGATATGATCTGATTTATTGTAGTTGTACCCAGTTTGTTGTTAAAATATTTATTTACAATTTTCGCAATTGACATTTTAGTTGTTGCTGTTGCGAACTTTTACTCTCTTACCGCTGATAGTTTGACTTGTTAACGGCCAAATGCGGCAAACTTTTGCTTATTGCCATACAACATTTCACAATTTATTGCCATTTGAGTTCGCTTTGCGTTTCTTCTCGAATGATTTTTCCATATGCCTAAAAGTATGCCACACTATTGCTACGCTGCATAAGAGCTTTCTGCTCGCTTTCTGCCCGCTTCTACGTATACACATACATACGTACATACACGTATACACAAAATGTACTCCTCTTGTCAACAAATGCAAACATTACATGCTTTTATAAAGAACTTCATAGGGGTATTATACGTTTTTTATTCGTACTTTGAATAAAATAATATGCCTTATACTGAGTACTGAGAACACATTTGTGTAGAAAGAAACGCCAGTCTGACAAGTAGTTCCTTTATTAGTAGCTTGAACTCTAAATAGTATTTATCAAACAATTACATATGAATAATTCCTTAAATTACACGTGAATGTTTATAACTTGTACCCGAAGGGCAGAAACAAGTGTCTCCGACAGAAAGAAATACCACCGACTTAATATATTCCTAATAAGTATACCGAGAATAATCGGAACTTGTCCGCCTGTCTGTATGTCTGGACATTTACCAAACTATATATGTACGCAACATGGGCTAATAATATTTATTGACAGCAAAACATACATAATTCATATACATATAATTCTCTCATTTTAATTCAAATTTTAAGCCAAATTATCATAACATATCAATTTTACTCCAGTACTACGATTTTTTTTAAGCGCGCTGACAACTACGCTTATATCGCAGTGAGGGAACTTTTCTTCTTGAGTTCTGTCCTATTTAAAGCACAGTTTGATTTCTTGCTTGCTATTACATACTATTCGATAAATGTAGGTAAATAGTTACTTCACTTACTACTAGTATCAAGGTACTTAGATCGCTTGAAGTAACTAGTTTAAGTTACTTTCCTAGCAAACAGTCAATTTTTTTACCGCAAGTATTTCTCTCTGTTCACATTTTCCAACACTCCATTTAGTGTTTCCTTGCATGGTGAGAAAACTCGTGTAGCCAAATTTTAGCTATACATGTATATATTTATGTATATTCAGCGGCTGGATAAGTGAACTAGTCAGTCTGGGTAGTTGAAATAAATAGTAGATGCTGATATAACAAAAGCTAATTGTACAAGTATACAAGTATGTGAAGGAAAGACAAATTAGAAGTGCTGGCGGTACGGCACTCTCCTGCCAATCCTGTCAATGACACCGCATAAAAGTTACTAGTTAATAGTTTGGGCACGATATGTGGGTGGAAGTAAGTAGTTGTGGTTCAAAAGGAAGTAGGGAGTATTGCCTCTGCAATAAAAAAGCACTTGTTCCATGCGAGTTTTCTATGAAGTGCGCGAAAATCAACACTGAACGCTAATTTTACTCAGCCGTCATTGTTATTATTGTGGCTGGTGTTGTTGTTGCTGTGGTTGCGAGCATGAGTTCTTAATTAGCTCGCAATGAGTTGTTGATATGAGCAAGTTTAGAAGTGTGTTTGGCTTGGTTTAGTCGATTTTCAGACTGAGGCTGACGTAACAATTTTTCCTTTTTTCCTTTTATACTTAAAGGGCGCCAAACTTTCTCACCACCCATCACCTGCCACCACAATATTCTAAAGTGCGTACAAGTTGGGGTAATGGTAATGAGTTGCCCCACCCTAATTTCTTTGATTTTGGGTTATGCTATATACAGCTAATGACGTCCAATGATCGTCGATAATGAGCAGTTTGTTAGGGTGTTGTTAATTCTGAGGCCACATGCACCATTCCACAATTATACGATGTGTGCTGAAAATTATACAGCGCCGTTAATTGGTCGTGGGTGCTAACTGCGAGCTGGTTCAATTGCAATCAATGCTGCGGTAACCCAAATTTACAAGGCTATCTCTGCATTTTTGAATATACACATACATAGTTTGCTAAATACATAAAGTTCTTTAAAACACATTTGTACATAAAATTAAAATGTATGTACTATATGTATCAAGTTGCTTTGTTATTTGTACAACTGGTTCACCTATAACTATTACCACAACTCTCTAATTTACTTATTTCATTTAGATTTTTACTTGACAACGATTATTTTTCTCTGGCATACTAAAGCAGTCCTGCTTCTATTTTCGATCAACCGAATAGACCCGAAACCAATCGACAGTAATATTTCAATCGTATACTATATATTTTAAATTTATATGCAATTTATTAAACTAGTATTCTTCTACCAATATGGCAGCTTAGGCTAGTTGCAAATTAATATGGAATACAAATATTGTCCATAGGTATACATCAATAGGAAATACTTAAATCTATGTAAATTTACAATGCAATATTTACAACTATATATGTAAGATAGTAATTTAAAGAACATATTCCTTTATAAAAAAATTCTAGGGGATTTGCATAACTCAACGAGCTAGTGGGATTGCCACAATTTGAGTTGTGGAGGCTAGGGTTCGAACCACGGCGCTACCATCATTGCAGATGCATGATTGAAGTTCGAATAAAATATATGCAGTCCTAAATGCTGTGGGTGTGATCTCTTGTAACAAAATGTACAACTCTGTCGCGTTATGGACAACGCCACACAATACGAATAAAAGAATAATTTTTAAAATATTAATAATATTCTATTTGTTATTTGGAAATATCATTAAAGCAAGGTTACCTTTTATATTTATATCAAATACATATAATTTCATTATTCATAAGACACCCAAACACACCACACATCAACACAGTCTAGACGCGTTTTTAAATAATTTACAAATATTATACGTACTACTTCTTTTTTAAGAGAATCCTTCTCGTATGTAAGCAACTAACTAAAAATGGTATTCCTTATTGAAGTAGAAAAGAAGACAATTCCAAATTACATGAAATATGTATTTGGTGGACTCGCTGGAATGATGGGGTCCTGCATTGTCCAGCCCCTGGACTTGGTGAAGACGCGCATGCAGATCGCCGGTGCCAGTGGCAGCAAGGAGTACACCAGCTCGTTTGACTGCATCGCCAAGATTTTCAAAAATGAAGGATTTCTGGCATTCTACAATGGATTGAGCGCGGGTCTGATGCGTCAGGCCACCTACACCACCACGCGCATGGGTGTCTATCAGATGGAGATAGAGTCATATCGCAAGCAATTCCAAAAGGCTCCTACTGTGCTGGCCAGCATGGGAATGGGCATTTTTGCTGGAGCCATTGGGGCCTTCGTTGGCAATCCTGCCGAGGTGGCACTCATACGCATGATGGCTGACAATCGCTTGCCGCCAAATGAACGACGTGGCTACAAGAACGTGGGCGATGCGTTTGTGCGGATCGTAAAGGAGGAAGGACTCTTTGCTCTCTGGCGTGGCTCACCGCCCACCATCGCTCGAGCCATGGTTGTCAATATGGTGCAGTTGGCTTCGTACTCCCAGCTAAAGAACTTTTTCAAAAAATACTTGAATGAGGGACTCATGCTCCATATTTCTGCCAGCATGATGTCCGGATTGCTCACCACCATTACGTCCATGCCGTTAGACATGGCCAAGACGCGCATTCAAAATATGAAGGTAGTGGATGGGAAGCCGGAATATACAGGCACTGCCAATGTCCTGGTCAAGGTGCTAAAGAACGAGGGAGTCCTAGCATTGTGGAAGGGCTTTACGCCCTATCTTTGTCGGGTAGGACCGCACACAGTATTTGCTTTCGTATTCCTCGAACAGCTGAACAAAGCTTACTACAAGTACGTCCTGGGGGAGGAAAATACTGGCGCTGGAATATAAAGAGTGAACTGTCAGAAGTGCTTCCACTAATTTCCATTCTCTCATCTGTAATTTATGACCCACACCGTCGTTATGTAATTTTACAAGGCAACTACATGCCAGGCTTTTATTTTTTGTTAAGGATCTATTTAAAAATTGTAATGCAAATAAAACAAAAAGAAATGCCAAAACAATAGTTTCCTTTTCACTGATGTTGATTATGTTTTAGTTTAGCAGTAATAATAGAATTAATAGCTGATAAATATTTTGTGGAAACTGGTTTTGAGCAGAACCTGACCATTACTCTTTAAGGCGCAAATATGGGTCATGATTGACCAAATAGCTGCAAAATTGAGGACTTAGCATTTCTGATATTTAGTAGCTAGAAGGTTAATGAAATATGGGTAGAAACTTTTCTGTAAGAAACAGCAGCTATCAAGAAAAGTAATTAAATTAAACTAATTAAACGCACAAATCGTTTCACAATTTTAAAAAAATCATAGAAAGCAGAACAGCATCAAAAAGAAAATTAGGCCTATATATGGGCATTTCCAATCTGACTTGATATGACATTGGTACGACAAAATATTATATAAATAAATTAAAAAGTAAAATTAAAAAAAAAATTTTTTTTGTTGAGTAGTAGTTTAAAAAATTATAGTATTCGACCTTAAAGGTAATAAGATGTAATCCATAGGCTCTGACGTGACGTTACAAAAAAGTGGGGTTTGGCTTGAATTACAAAATTGCAAAACTAAGGAAAAGTTCGTGCAATGAATTTATTTTTACATAATTTTTCCTTTTTTTTTGATGATTCCACCTGCTTAAGCCGCAATTAAGTAAATTAAAAACAAGATAGAACGCTACAGTCGAGCAAGCCCGACAGTAAAATAGCCTGTACTCTCCACAAAAAAGAAAAATTAAAAAAAAAAAATTTAAAAAAAAAATTAAATTATTAAAAAAAAATTAATGAATTAATTAATTAAATTAGAATATATGTTTATGTTTAGTTTTAACAGCATACATTTACATCACGTGTCTATGTGTATTTATATGCGTGTATGTATGCAGCACAAAGTTGAACCAAAGCAGCAACAACAACAACAGCTGCGGGCAGCGCTGCCGACAGAGGCAGCGCATGAGCAGCGATTTTACTTATGGCTATAACTTTCTTCAGAATTGACCTATCATGATGAAATTTGGCACACGGACACATTAGTACTAACTGGATGTACCTACCAAAATTGATTTCAAAATTCCGAGAATTACGGAAGTTATAAGAAAAAACACGAATTGCGGGGGAGTGGGGGGGTGCATCGAAAAAAAACTAAAACTCGTACTTTCTCGGTCTTAGGAGAATATGGAAACCAAGTTTGGTTATTCTAGCTCTTATACTTTCTGAGATCCTTGCGTTCATACGGACAGACGGACAGACAGACGGACAGACAGACGGACAGACGGACGGACGGACAAGGCTATATCGACTCGGCTTCTCATCCTGATCAAGAATATATATACTTTGTGGGGTCTGCCACGCCTCCTTCTGTGTGTTACATACATGCGCACAAAACTAGTATAGCCTTTCACCCTTTGGGTACAGGCTATAATAAACAAAATACCATGCAAGGAAATGATTTAAAATCTGACGTTACCTACTTTTGAAAATCAAAATAAACATCACTATTTGCTAAATTTCTGATATTTTTATTAAAATTAGTAAACTGTATTAAACTTTGTCTAATCATCAGCGTAGAGATAATGAGAATACATGATATTTTTCTAACGTAATGTTACTCTTAACGCAACGTTTGCTCTTCTGCATTTATTTGAAGGTTTGTTGTTGTTGTAGCTAGCATTTTGCAATAAGAGCGCAGATGCACAATAAGTCTTGGAATCGTAAATGGTAAAGATAAAATGCTCTTAAAATAGACAAAGGATGACCAAAACCTGAACTTGAACTTTGTAGGTGTTTATTTCGCCATTGCAACTAGGTAGAGCTTTTAGTTCATTTAATAAAATTTGAACATTTCCCTTTAATATTACAAGTAAAGAAAAACTGTTAGTTAACTTCAAACTTTTCTGTTATGGTGCACTTTTCTGTGGAACTGCGCACCCATATCCAAACTCTCTCAATTGATCTAAAATCTAAGTATAAAACAATATTTTCAAAACCAAAATAACACTTTAAAAATTTTCATAAATTATATATTATACACATACAAATTATTCAAATGTAATTTATTTTTCAGAGGCGTGTAAGCGCGGAAATGTTGTGGATTTTCATTTTTCGAATGCATGATAAATCATGGCGAAAATAGAGCTTTGAGAACCACATAAAGGGGCTTTGACAACATATTCTCATTTGTAAAAGCATAATATTATATCAGATGTAAGACTTGAAATACGTAATCATGTGAACAGATCTCAAAGTTTGCGCAGTTGTATTTTTTCTCGCATGCGATAATTTACAATTGATCTCTCCTCCACTCGCCTTCTCTCTCATTCTGTCCACAAATTTCCAGCTGAGCGACTTCTCGTCGTTATCAATATGCCGGTCGGATTCCAGTTGTCAGTTGCGATTTAGCGGCGCGATCGTGCGGTCGGTTCGGTGCTCGTTGTGGCGTTTGTCTTGAATACAAAGATACATACGTTCGCGCATCGCCGGTGGCTGCTGATCTGCCACTAGTCTAAGTCTAATTCAGCATTGGAAAAGCTCCTGTGCGAATGACACCTCAGTCAGCTGCGGCGCTTAGACTGTGAAATCTAAATTAAAGCCACTTAAGTTGTCCACAGAACGGCGCACTAAGTCCACTAAGCAAAAGAAATCTCGGAACGGCCGGCCGCTTACTTGCCACTTGCATGAATCAACGCCAGCCGCTCCGCCGCGGAAGTGTTAATTTAAAATATAAATACAGAACACAAAAATCTGTAGCTGTGTGTATTATTGTTGTTTTTGGGCATAAAAAGTTCCACGAAAGTGCATCGATTGTGCGGTTCAGTGTCTGTCCGATTGTCGCCTGAATACAGCCGACCTTCCGGCAGTCTTCGAGTGAGAAGATCTACCAGTGTCATAAGTATTAAAAATGTGAGCATATCTTACGAATAAATTATATCTGTACGTCAAATGCGTTTTACTCGTATGTGAGTTCGTTAATATAGATCGAAAAAAGGTGCTAATTATTGATTGTGTGAATTAGACGTGCCATTGACAAAGATAGGCTGTCATAAATCGTAACGAAGCTCCCAAAACGCCACTTATCTTACAGAAGTAGCCAGGTTGTTGGATTTTTTACCGTGCCCCATTCTGAGCACGCAAGGTGAGTAAAAGTCGCCGATGTCGTGTGAACAAGAAGATACTAGTACCAAATTGTTATCTCAGGCGCTCACTTGTGGGACGCTCTGGAATAGATTAGCGTCGAACCCACTTATTGCTAAGTTGGTCGTTTTAGTTGATTAGTGTCTTATACTTCAATTGGTTTGCAAAGACAACTTGACATTCTATTTCAAACCGTATCATCATTCTGGAAGACTCATTGTTCCACCTTACATTTATATATATGTACACATATGTATATGAATATAGAGTAATGTAATGGTAATTAATGCTGCAAGCCATTCTTGGGGTCAAGCTTAATAAAAGTAATAAACAGAATATGATGTGAAATGGGGAATAGTTTTCTTAAATACAAGATACATTGTTGTATCCACTTGTATCTCTCTGAACTCACCCAAATCTGTTTATACTTATTACTTTATTATTGATAATTTGTTATCGCTAATACAACACCTTATCGTGTCACAGCTTAAGATAAAAAAGTCCCAACAATGAGTTGTCTTAAAAAACGGTGCTTGTTGGGGCTTCAGTCTACATGCAGTCGGTAGTTGTAGGATCTAATCATTATAATGACTTGTTTAATGGCGCTAATTTCTGATTGATGGATGATTATCTTTTTATGGCATTAACAATAAAGTATTATCTCACGCATTGGCGATAAGAGAAATACGTGTTTTACGTCTAATTCTAATAAAACAGTTTCCCCTGACTGGCTGAATGAAAACTAGGAAATTTGTACTTAAGTTTACTTTCATTTAGGTAATTCCAGTTCCAAAAGGGGAAAGGGGACTTCAATGTTTGTATGAAAAAAAAACCCCAAAGATTTGATTGTTATATTTTTCTTGCTTATGAGTTTATTGGGTGAAAAAATTCGAACATCAAAAGGCAATTCGTCGCAGAGAGGGAATAAGGTGGAATGCTTGTATAAAAACTGCATTTCGATTTTGTGAATTTTTATTGGGGCATGAGAGAAGCAAGTATATATGTATGTACATAAGAATGTTTATTTATGTGCTGTGCAGTTGCACAAGTTGAGCAAATATCTTTGTCAAATAATACAGCTTGTAATTCTATAAATTGTGCTGTCGTTCAACTCTTTTCCTACTTCTTTCATACGTTTTGAGACAGTATCTAACAAACAGCGCTCTTCAATGTTGTCTTCTAAGTCTTTAAGTACTACGTGTTATCGTTGTACAATCTCCAAAGATTTCTTTTATCGTTGCTTGGGCGTAGTCTGTGAAAAATATGTGCTTGGAAATACCCTTTGTAAAAATAACGTGTAAAATACAACAAACAATTGAAAATAGCTCCAACTAAGTATTTTATCACACATCTTACATATTTTGCTGCTCTACAACCCTATTTGAATCTATGTATCTGAGCTCGGAGAAACGGACCACTGCCTTTTTCCGTAAATATTGACAACTATTATATCATAAATTCCAATTAACAACATTGTTCTTCCCATCGTGTATATAATTGCATTTTGTGAACGATTTGCAAGTCAAAAATAAAAGTTGAGCGTGTATCATAAATAAGTCGGACAGATTTGAAAGATTTAGAAAGAAAAGCACATAAACAAGACACTTTGATTATCGCACAGCTCGACTGCCAATTCCACTGCCCCTTTCGTAATTGCAACTTGTCAGCTGTATGAGAGAAGTGTCTGAACACGGCACGGGCTCTAGAATGCAACACCCATGTGTGATTGGCGGGCAGGCGGCAATTATTTAAATGTATTATTTGAATTTTGCTGATAATCACAAGAGCTGGCACAGACGACCAATGTGGATATTTGCTTATTATAGCACCTTAGATAGGAGACAGAAACAGCAACAGCAACAGCAACAACATCAGCAA